TTTTAAATTAGAGCTTGAAACAAAATGTTTTTACTTAATGAAAACTTTCGTTAATTCAATTGTGTGATTCATTTTAATATCTTATTCAAATATAATTTGTGTTTTATCTTGTATGTCCTCAGCTGTCCAATTTATATTTTCATGAAATAATAATAAAACAATCATTTAATATTTTGATATCTTAAAAATTATCAATATTCAAAAATTAGTATAGGATTTATAGTCTCGATCATGAAGATACTCATGATAAAACGTTCAGAGCTTTTAAAATAATTTCAATTTATTTCGAAGAATCAGTGACGTAAAGATGACTTTTTACTTAAACTATATTCAATAAGTGGTTCCTTGAAATGAAAGAAAAAATAACCATTAGAAAAAGAACTTAGATGACTCGTTTTTGTTTGAAACTCTTTTCTGAGTTTCTGATCCTCATACCCCCCACCTTCTATGACAATCTGAGAAATTCTCTTTTTAATCTTTCTAAAATCAAGCAGGAATACCGAGTCAAACACGGTGAACAACAAAATTACTATTAAAAGTCTCAAAAATTTAATGTATTTTAAACGAGCATCAGCTTCTAATTACATATGAAATTTTTGTGTGGATGTGTGTTGATGTCAGTAGAGACTTTGAACAGCCACCGGTACCCACACCAACAATATTTATTTTGAAATATCAGAAAGAAATAGAATAATTGTATTTTATGTAGAATTTAATAAATTACAGATTAAATGGAAAGTGTACATATTCAAAAAAAATTAAATTGTCTACAAATTCTTTTGGAATTTAAATTACGAATAAAAATAATTTAAATTTATTTTACATTTAGATTACTGATAATATGATTTAGGGTTAAATGAAATTGACATTACTCATAAATTCACACCCTTAGTCTATTAGAAATACTTGAATACACTCCTATGTTGACTTACTATGAGTGAAAATCGTGTCTTTCACCGCTATGATTTTCGATGAAATGTATATAAGCATTATAAAAGTCACTGTCTTTATATGGCTTGTGATAGGACTATTTTATGTGTAACATCTACTTTAATCAAGATTATCGATTATACATGATGAACAATCTCAATTGAAGGTTTTTAAAAAATATCCTATGATGATTAAAATGCCTCATTTCATGTCCCATCAGTTTTTGTTCTTTCTAGTTACTCTTGGCATTTAATTTTGATTCTATTGTTAGTCTAATCATGTATGAATCCAAATATACTCATGTAATAAATGATATGGGAATGCGCAGGTGCTGTTTTGTGTGCTTGCAAACGATTATGCTCCTTAGTTATCCTTGACTAAAATACTTGGTTTCTTCCAACTTAGTTGTGTTTACGTCATTTAATAAAGCATGATATTTGAATTAGATAGGCACTTTTTTATCAGTGGACTAATCATCGCACTTATTTCGCTCTTTCAATATTCATTCTCTTGATTTTTTGTCTTCCATTGCGTTTCGTTTTGTTAAGATGAGTAAATACACACTGATACTTGTGTACATCAGTGCATTACACTGAAATTCGTAATTTTTCTCCTGTGAGTAAATGAGACAATAGTTTTTCTGATCTCATAGATGGGTAATACAAACACTTCGTCGTATAACGTTGAGTTTCTTCGCGACCATCACTCGTTCGATCGACCATATAAGAATGTAAGATAGGTATGGGGGTTGTGTTCTCTCGTGCCCACATCCACGAATTCGTGTGAAATCTTTCTAGTTTCATTTAGTGCTAGCTATCGTCAAGATATGGGCTCAAAGTCTTGAAGTATTTGGTAAGAGCTTCCTTATTAAAGTCATGATAGTTGTTCTATTATGCTATAATCAAGACCAAGAAAATTAGTTTTGTATTTCAACCAAAGGTAATAGCTTTGAACAGTATTTGAGAACTTTTATTTTACAAATAAAAAGTTGGCGATAATATCCATCTTATGAAAAAAATTCGTTAAACTTCATTAATAGAAAAACTATGCAAAGATATTTTTTACAAGAGACTTTTGAGACACATTGTTTTGCTTAAAAGACTACAGGACGAATAGCAATGAGTTAATTGAGAACATATTTGATTTCATGTCCATTTTGGTAGATGCATAACACTGCCAAGTCACAATACGTAGCGTACGTCAGGATGCTAACAATAATGAGAGAACATCATTGTAAATAAAGAAAACTAAATGAACTCACCCAATCACAGGGTTCTTTGATAGCTGCTTCACGCTTCCTCTCATCTGCTGATAAATTTATTCGTCGATGATTTTCTCTCCATAGACAAATGCGTAAAGTAATAGTAAGAACCAAACTGACAGCCATCATTCCACCACAGATCAAATGTCCTCGTCGATAGTCCGGTCTATCAGCTTCTCTATAAATCTACGAACAACGCTATCACTATTAATAGTGTTTTAAAATCATATTACATTCGACTTTATAGGTTACTCTATCTATAATTTTTCACAAGAAGTAGTCTTACCGTAGGCACGACAATGCCACCGATTTGACTTGAACCCATAACGCAACTGATTGCCATGGCCCTTTTTGTGTGACCACCGACATTATTTGTCAACCAAGAGAGTAGTAAAGGAAATGCAGAGAATACACCACAACAAGCAACAGTAATACTCACATAGTTTGCTACTGTGCCTTGATCGAATAGAGTGAACATTAGGATAAATCCGAATAAGCCAATCAATAGACAAAATATGAGATGAAAGCCATGTTCATTTCGACGCGATGACGAATAACTCGCCAACAAACAGCAAACACATGCAACAACAAAAGATAGCGCCGTCATTAAGTGTGCTAGAGCTCTGGAGAAACCTATACATTCAACCAGTGTTGGGAGGAATGCTGTTAGACATTTGGCAACGCCCAAAATGCCAATAGCAATCAATCCATACAAATAGATTCGCCGATCCATGAAAACATGGCGAACTTGCCGCCATGAAAGTCGATTATTTGACATGGGTTCACGGGCGGCTATACCGGCATCGTTTTGAAGAAGATTTGTTAATAGTTGCTTCTCAATATTATTCAACCCTAAATTTTCGCAAACGATCTCGAATATTCTCTGTTCTCCTTTAAACTCTTACACTGAACAGCATTCGGTACATTGTCAAGGAAAAGATACGTAATAATGCCGATCGGAATAATTGGTAAACCTGCGAGCAAAAACGTCCATTGCCAGCCTTTCAGACCACCGATACCTGTCATGTGTGACATAGCGTAGGCCTAGATTAATGATAGTCGAACATTCAATGAGCTCAAAATAGACGATCCCTCATCAGATCGACTAGTACATACCAGAACACCATCGAGAGCACCAGAAGCAATAGTGGCACCAAAGAGAATAGCTATTCTCATAATTTGCTCTCTTTTACAGTACCAAAAAGAGAAATAAATGACGATGCTAGGAAAAAAGCCCGCTTGAGCCATGCCCTTCAATGAAAATTCTGAAATATATCATTGTCAGTGCAAATTCTCAATTTACTGACGAGAAAAAATCGGAGAATAAGTAGTTGTCGAGCAGTAGTTATAAAAGCCATACCTACAGTAATGCTACCTGATGCAAGCATACCCAATGCTAGATACCGAGTCGGACCGATGAAGCGTAGAAGAAGATTGCTCGGAATGTCAAAGAGAAACTAGAAAACAAAGTCACATTGGAACACATTGAAATTTAATGATATCATTTTCTTACGCAGGCAATATAAAACAGAGAAATGACCCAACTATACTCTGAGTCTGACATCTGCAGATCCTTTTTAATACCCATCAGTTTAGCGTGACCTAAAAGAATATTATCAATAAGACATAATTTAAGCTAACAACACATACCCATGCTCATCCGATTTATGCACGAACTAATTTCGAGAGAAACAAGAAAAGGGAGCAGTCTTCGATCGAGTTTCCGTATTATACGACGAATGGCATTGTCGTAAAATAGTTTCGCATCGCTCTGATTGCTGACAGCAATGTTGTCGATCGCTGTTAGAGCTGCCGACAACGGCTGTTTTTTTATTAATATTACAGGCGCACTCATAGTCAGTGATGTAGATTTTCTTTTCAACACGTATTACTTTTCATTTTTTCAAGCACACGCTTTTTCTTTTTCTTTTTATGAAGGCCCGTTTTTAGTTCTGTATGAAAGGACTGATTAATACTCACCAAAAGCGGAAGAGAAAAAAGGCGCACCAACCAACATTGGATGGATTATGGTTCTTTATGAGTAATGTCACGAAAAAAATTACGACCTTCCTCGTTCTAAAAATATTCGATGTGCCTACGGCAGAATAGACTGGGGGTGGCTGTGTGGCTGTGGATGTTGGTGAGCGTGACTATTGGAATGTGAATGTTGCTGTTGACTGATATCTCTCTTTCTTCCACATTCAAACACCCGCACCCGTACCCTCGACAAAATCAACGGTAAGTCATTGTCTCAAGCATTTGTCAATGGTTCAAATGTAACAATGGCCTATTTACTGCAATGAATAGTCGATGACGAGCTTTTGTCTCACTAATTTTTCCGTCTTTGTTCACAGCAGAATAAAGCGAAAAATGAGCGCACTGTTGGAGCTAGAAAGAAAAAGTCGCTCCGACTCCGCCTTCAGCTCTATTTTATTCACGAGAAACTTCACTTCGTCTCCGGAGCGGGGACGAAGCTGCTTATCTCTGGTGTGGATGATATAAGTCTGTTCCATGCGTGCATGAGCTTTACGCTCACCACGGCTCCACCACGATGGTTCCTGATCGCGCGCGTGCGAATAGAACAGCTATCAATTCTTTTTCATTCAATCATGATTTATTTGAAAAATGAAGAAAAGAAAAAATAAAATTAGTTATCGTAATGAGTTTATGTGATATTAAACTTTTCTACTCTATTATTCCAAGAATCAACGACACAAAGATTACCATGTCGATCGAATGATAAACCGACGGGACCATTGAGTTGTTTCGACTGTGCTCCGCCACCGTTTCCACAAGCAATGACGCTTTCCTATGTAGCTCCTTTGGGCCAACACATGATTCGACGATTCCCCGTATCAACCACACAGACAGTACCCAATTGATTGATAACGACTCCATTAGGACCTGACAATTGTGTAACACTATTCCATTGTCCTTGACGACCGGTTACGACAATGCCTTGTTTTGCATCTTTTCCCCATATTATCACACGATGATTTCCCGAATCAGACACGTACACTGAATGATCTCGATCGACAAATACGTAGCGGGGCTTGGAGAGTTGATTGAGACAATCTTCTAGTCCATTGCCGCCTGCAACCACTGTTCCTTTGGTCTCACCAATTTTATGCCATCTCACTTCATGTTTTCGATTGTCAACGACATAGAGAGATCCATTCTCGTCCATTGTCAAACTGAAGGAAGAGATGTTCAAAATGATTGTTTCTCCACTAGTGTCATTTTGACAAGGCCATCGAACTACCCTTGTATTCTCATAATCGCTAATGACGCGACTATTTCTCACTTTGTCGACAATTACATCGTATGGGCCATTCAACTGATAAGCTCCACTCTGTTCTCTATTTCTACCGGCAACCATTTGGCCATACGTGGCACCACATTTTCATTCCACTGATCAGCGACATACAAGGATGTGGGTGTGGGGTGTGGATGTGAGTGTGAGTGTGAGGTGTGGGTGTGGCTATTT